TAACCCAAGGGCGAAGACAACCACAAGCATGGAAGTCCTCAACGGGGAGTGTGTGTCCCGAAACACCCCAGTGAAGATAACCCTGACATGCAAGGGCAGTACTCACGGAGTACCTAGAGAAGGACACCCTAGGCGCATGCTGCTCCGGTACACTAAGACACCTGGCCACCACACCACACAATTGGAACAGCCACACAGGGCAAAAATCCAGAACAAGAACTTGAAGCCAGAGGTGACAGATGTGACCACCAGTACATTAGTTCAAGAACTGAAGTAGTGGGGGTGGTGCCATGTAATGCTTAAGGGGGGAGTTAATGCTAATCAGCGGGAGTGCTAGTTGCATGAAGGGCTGCATGTGGGGTTTCTTTCTTGAGGAGTTATTTTGAGCTATTCGGATGTAGACTGCACAGGTTAACCAGACAGTGGTCTGTTTTGATTCGCCTAACTTTCTGGATCCTTCCCCAGTCGATTGCAATTATGATATACTTTAAATGTAAAGTGCTCATAGGCCAATGATCCTTACACCTTTCTGAGGGGCCCAGGTTCTGCCCTGTGGCCCGTGAAAGGCAAAAGGACTCCTGTGACTGATGACCCCCAAAACTAATATAGCACATATCACTTCAGATAGCTTCAGGGAGCTGACAAGGCTCGCCACAGAAATGATATAAAGACAGACAGACAGACAGTATGGTTTTTGGTCTGGAAGATTCTGTGTAACAAATTTACTTAATTTATATAAGAGAGCCACAAAGATTTTACACGAAAGGGATGGATGGGGTTGCCTGTATTTATCTGAACTTGAAAAAGGCTTTTTATAGGGTTCCACATAAGAGGGCATTCTGAAAACTGGAACATACCAGAGGAGTGACATGGAGGCTTCTAACACAGATAAAAAAAAATTAAATGACAGAAAAATGAGGGCAGAAATCAGAGGCAATGTATAGGACTGGAAAAATATCACGAGTACCACAGGGTTCAATTCTTGCACCAGTAATATTTATTATCTAAATAAACGACCAACCAAAAGGAATAAAGAATTATATGAACATGTTTGCTGATGATGTTAAGATATTAAGGAAGATAAGAAACTTTGATGATCAGCATTCCCTACAAGAAAACCTGGATAAAATATGTATATGAGTACCACTTCGCAAATGGAATTTAATATGAATAAATGCCATGTTATGGAATATGAAATAGGAGAAAATAAACCATACATAACCTATAAATGATGTGAAAAATCTTAAAAAAAAATTCTGATAAACAAAGAGATCTAGGGGTTACCTTGTGTTGATTTGATTTAACCTTGCTTTGATTTTGAGGATCAATGTCCTTGTGGCTCAGTCTCTGGCCAGGCATCCTCTAAATAGGGGTTATCTTGAGGTTATCTTGAGTTGATTTCGGGGCTTTAGTGTCCCCGCGGCCCGGTCCTTGACCAGGCCTCCACCCCCAGGAAGCAGCCCGTGACAGCTGACTAACACCCAGGTACCTATTTACTGCTAGGTAACAGGGGCATTCAGGGTGAAAGAAACTTTGCCCATTTGTTTCTGCCTCGTGCGGGAATCGAACCCGCGCCACAGAATTACGAGTCCTGCGCGCTATCCACCAGGCTACGAGGCCCCTGGGGTGGTCCTATTTAGAAAACTGTCACCCCAAGGACATATAAACAACATTGTTTGAGAAACTTATGATATGCTTTCCAATTTCAGAATTGCTTTCAAATACATGAATGGTGAAAAACTAAAGAAATTGTTCATGATCTTAGTGAGACCAAGGTTTGAATATGAAAGGGTCATATGGTGCCCATATTTTATGAAGCATATTACCAAACTGGAAATGAAAATTAAAAAAAAAAAAAACGCGTTGAATGTAATGAAACTCCATTTTCTGGGTGAGCCCCAGAGACTCTCTCTCTAATGTACATACATTATCGAGCTAATGTATGTACAGTAATATTAGACCGGGACATTAGTTAAGGAGTTTTGACCTACCAGGGACCAGCGCCAGAACCTGGCCCCTTCAGAGAGGTTTCAGGGAGCAATGGCCCTGGAAAACCCCCTTGTGGTTGGGGTTTTCCTTATCTGCCATCGACCGGGGTTAGGCACCCAGAAAGGTAGGCATAACAAAACAAACCCCACATGGAAAAAGAACTAAAACAAAAAACTGAACAGAGAGGTAGAAACTCCCTACAATCCCAAGGAAACAAGCAAACAAGCAAACATCACACTTTACTGACACGCCGATCGAACACCAGTTGATTGACAGTTGAGAGGTGGGACCAAAGAGCCAGAGCTCAACCCCTGCAAGCACAACTAGGTGAGTACAGCTAGGTGAGTACACACATAAGTGTACACATGTACATGTATACATGTGTATACACACACATACACATGAAAAGAAAAGAAAATTAAATAAAGAAAAGAAAAATACAAGCTGCCGACCAATGGGCAGAGAGCACCACGCTTGCAAGGCTTAGAAGGCAGAAAGAAAGCACAAAAATACATCAAAAGGCCCACCTCGACAACAAAACCCAAGGCCCCGGCACGATAACAACACGTGCCAAAACCCAAAAAGATCAGAAGAAAGCCCCCAGAACCCACAAAGGGGGGCCCAAGAGGAAGAAACCTCCGGAACAAAACCAAAGAGCCCAAAGGAACCCGGAATCGAACCCTGGGGAGCCCAAACTACCACATTTGCCAGCGGAAATACACCACAAAAAGGCAAAGTACAGCCCCAGACAGAACCCCCAGGGAAACGGCCAAAACAGACTGAAAACCGAGGGACAAGGTGTGAGAGCATAAACAGACAGGGACACTAAGCCCAAACCCTAGGGGCCAGACCCAAAACAGACAGAAAACAGAAAAAGCGGTGTAAAAACCAACACCCAAACGCTCCCAGAGGAACAGAAGATGGGCAGAAAACACCAGAAAAGCAAAGAAACCCCTGGAAGAGGTGAAAAACTCACCCAAGGCACTAGCTCGCACACCAAGGCACATGTAAACAAACCGCAACGCCGCCCTGGTGGCCATGCCAGGAAACCGGCAGAAGAAAATGGCCACCAGAAACAGGGAGGCCATGACCGATGCAATAAATACGAAAACACACCAGTAAATATGGTAAGCAAGTAGGCTACATGGACGAAAAACCTCACCCAGAAGCGGAAAACCCAGGCAGGGGCAAACAGCCCCAGAACTGCTAGCAGACATCCCCCACAGCCCCGGGAACCCACAACAGAGGCCCTGAGGCAGAGCCGTCCTCTACGCCCTCTGCCCTTAAAGGAAAGGAAGAGTCCAGGGGGAAAGGCAGCAAGAAAGAGCTGCTGGTAAGACCCAGACGCCTTAGCAGGAGGAACAGGCTCGAAAACCTCCGTCCCTAACCTGAACGGTGCAGACCTCGAACTCCCCTCCCCCCTTGAGTCTCTGCCCCAACTAAACCCCGCCCCGACCCCAAAACCCACAGACGATCAGGAGCTGGGAACAGGGAGGGAAAAGGGCGAACAACACCTAAGCAAAACGAGGCGGACCTGGGGCATCCGAGTGGGAAACCAACCAAGTGCGTTGCAGCAACCTAAACCAAGCTTGCAACACAGATGCTGTCTGTACTCTGAACAGTAATAATATCAGGAGAATACTGGAGAACAAGCAGAGAACAACTCGCAAGACTCCGGGTCAAGATGTCAGTGACCCAACAAGCAGCATGACGGAGGTAAAAGTAGCAACTGTCACCCTGAGACAAGGGCACAGCAACCAACAAACCTGCACAAGACAGGTTGGAACCCGGAAGACACATTCAATGGTCTACCGAGCCCCGACATGGTTTTCCAGGGCCCATAGGGTAACAACTACAGGAAGCCTGGGCAAAGTTTTGCTAACCGGTTAAAATTTAAAACTAACAAGAGGTAGAGGACAACACTGAAAACCCCTGAGACGTGTACAATCACAGGGGCCTAGCAGAAGGCCACCAAACACTACCAGTGGAACTATAGCCACACTAGGTAAACCCACACCGGGCAAATGAAAATAAAAACAAAAGAAAACCCCCGCAAAAGTACACCGTCCCCAGAGGAAACAGGAACCGGTCGCTGCTTAGGTGGCAGGTCGTGCAACACCTTGACGCCCTAACCAGCACAATACTAGTCCCTACCCTTGGCCAAACAAGGGCCCCAAGCCCCAGCTGGCTCCAAGGGCGAGGCAAATGCCGAGCAGCAAGAACCTCTACGGGAATGGTTTCCGAACACCCCAGGGGAAGATAACTCTGTCACGCAGGGGCAGTACTCACAGGGCGCTTAGGGAAGGAAGCCCCTAAGTGCATGCAGCCCCGGTACTGATGAGGAACACCTGGCCACTTCACAACACAACACACGGCAGTGAACGCCACGAAAGGCAAACACCTCCTAGGAAACTGAGGCCAGAGAAGCGTCTGTCCCGGTTGACATTAGCTTATGAACTGATGCTAGGCAGCCGGCACAGTGAAGTCCGGGGACTCCCCTTCGCCTCTTGGGGAAGGGAGAGGAGGGCTACGTGGATGGTCGGCATGGCAGTAAAGTGTGATGTTTGATTGTTTGCGCGTTTCCTTGGGATTGTAGGGAGTTTCTACCTCTCTGTTCGGTTTTTTGTTTTAGTATTTTACCATGTGGGGTTTGTTTTGTTATGCCTACCTTTCTGGGTGCCTAACCCCGGTCGATGGCAGATAAGGAAAACCCCAACCACAAGGGGGTTTTCCGGGGCCATTGCTCCCTGACACTTCTCTGAAGGGGCCAGGTTCTAGCGCTGGTCTCTAGGTCTGAGACCAGTGCTACCAGGTTCTAGGTCTGAACTCCTTAGATAATGTCCCTGTCTAATATAACGTCATTAGCCCGATAAGCTCCAGGGAGCTGTAGGGGCTCCACACAGAAAATCACCATTTGTGCTGTGAAGAAGCAGGTAAGACTAGTGTGGGGTTACAAACAAGCGGTGCAGCAAATCCCATGCACAGGAATATATTTTCAACCACTGACTCACCCTTATAATATGTGTTCCGTGTGTTAGATTTAATTGTCCCAACCAATTTTGCCAATTCTGGGAACGTCATTGCATGTGAAAAGGGAATTAAAATGAACAATATGATACAGAAAAAGTCTATACAAGTTTCTCTGCACTATATTCCTTTTACATATTACAATAGTATTTATAAAAATCACTATTTGTTTATTCTAATTAATTTCTATATAAATACAAAGAAATACACAAATTAACAAGCATAAACATTTATTTCCACTCAACATTAAAATTACTATTTATAATTATATTTCCAGATCTTACACATTTAAATATAATGTTCAGTACATAATCAAGAAACCAGCATTGAATGTAATGAAACGCCATTTTCTGGGTGAGTCCCGGAGGCTTTCCGGAGCTATCCAGGCTGAATGGATATGTATAACTTTCTGGCATCAGTCAATGTGCACGGAGTTCTTGCCTACCAGGGACCACGTGCCAAAACCTGGCCACATCAGAGAGGCATGAGGAGTAATGGCCTATAGAAACCCCCTGTGGTTGGGAGCGTTCTATGTCTGCCATCGACCGGTACAGGCACTCAGAAGGTAGGCACCCCAAAATAAACCCTTATTCAGGTGAAACTGTTGCTACCGAAAGCCGAATGAGTGGACAGAACTCCCGAAACAAAAATTACCAAACGAGCATGACATCATTATGTTGCTGCGACGTCAACGTCATGCGTCATCATGTTGCTCCCCCCTCTTCCTCCCCTAAAGGAAGAGGAGGAAGAGGGGTCTGGTGCTGCCCAGAGCCCCAGACCCCTCGTGCCAGTGACCCAACCTTTCAGTTATTAGGTTGGATGTCAAAAAACGTGAAAAAACACTGCCGAACGAGGGGGAGGGAGGGAGGGAGGGATGGAGGTAGGGAGGGATGCCGAGCAGCCTCTGGGACTCACCCACAGAATGGAGTTTCATTCAACGCTGGTTTTCTGGGGACAGCCCAGTCAGCTCCCCAGAGCTAACTACCCAAAGATAAGGAAAAACAGGGACTTACCTGGGAGGTGGTCCATCCTCACTCCTCAATGTGAAGTTGTGACAACTGGCTGCACTCGCCGACCCAATGCAACGCAGGCCCGACCAGGCCCAGGGACATTCACCAGGACCCTGTTCGACCTCCAAAAACCTCAGGGCGTCGTGGTTTACGAACGTTGTGGGCATGGGGACAGACCGCAGGCTGGCTAGACGTAATAACCCTAATAACCCTGCAGATAACCTGAGAGACCCGAGCCGGGGAACAGGGAAGAAGGGAAACCGGGTCAACCCAAAGCACATCCCGGCAGCCGAAGCCGTGATGCGTAAATAACGAGAGCAGCAACCGGACACAAGACATGATGCACCCCAGCCTGACCAATATCTTGAGGTTATCTTGAGATGATTTCGGGGCTTTAGTGTCCCCGTGGCCCGGTCCTCGACCAGGCCTCCACCCCCAGGAAGCAGCCCGTGACAGCTGACAAACACCCAGGTACCTATTTTACTGCTAGGTAACAGGGGCATAGGGTGAAAGAAACTCTGCCCATTGTTTCTCGCCGGCACCCGGGATCGAACCCGGGACCACAGGATCACAAGTCCAGCGTGCTGTTCGCTCGGCCGACCGGCTCGGCCGACCGGCTCCAAACAACCAAGCATCAACGACCCAAGGCCTCCTCAGGAATGAAGTCGTCTCATTCTTTGCTAGATAAGAAGGAGACGGTTGCAACCAAACAAAACGACCCTCAGGACAAAAGAGCAGAAACCCCTGCGCCGGAGGAGAGCATGAAGCTCCCAGACCCAATCCCCCCAGAGTCCAATGCCAACAGGAAAAGAGCCTTGGAAAAACAATCCCGAACAGAAGGGGCCACAACAAACCGAGGAGAAGAGAGAAACGAGAGCACCCAGTCCAAAGACCAGGACGTCTCAGGAGGCCATGAGCAGGTCAGAGGTAAAACAACGCACAAGACAGCTTGCAGAACAGGGCAGAAGTAACATCAATACCGAGAGCAAGCTGAAGCAGCTCCATCTGCACCGCATGATTCGAGGCGACAGTATTCGGTATAAGATGACTGTCCTGGAACAACCAAGAATGAAAAGACAAAACAACCCTATGAGAGACCGAAGAACACCTACACAGTGATAGGAAAAACCAGAAGGACTGACAGGAAATTTCATTTTGTCGCCAAGATGAAGCATGCAGGTGGGAGACCAACAACAAAGCCACCTGGGCACCATACAAGTGATGATAGACTTGAGTCAAAAACACCCGACGCAAAGACTCGAGGAGAAGACCGAACCTCGTACCAGGCTGGACCGATCTGCTGAAAGAGGTGAAGCCATGGGAAGTCCCTCGGGTTCAGACACTGAACAAGCAACTCCTGAAACCAAGGCTGGGCCAGCCACCAAGGAACCAGAAGGACAATGCTTCCCTGGTAAGTCTCCAAGCAAACCAGGACCCAGAGCAACAGCTGAACCAGGGAAAAGAGGTACAGGTAACCCCACCTCGCCCAGTCCAGCCGAAAGGCTTCAACCCTGACAGCCTCGCAGTTGGGGAAGGCGCCACGTATACTGGGAGATGCAAAGAGATCCACTTCCAGAGGCCCGAACGTCTTGCAGAGCCAACTGAATGAGCAAGAAGATCCACTTCCAGCGACATGAACGTCTGGCAGAGCCAACTGAACGAGCTAACATCGACCATCCATTCCGTGCACAGGGGAATGAACCAGGACAGGCCGTCCGCCAAGACATTGGACACCCCCCTGAACGTGAATTGCCAGGAGAGCCAAACCCCTAGAACTCAGCAGACGAGTAACTCGAAGCAACCAGCCCCAAAGAGCCAAGGACCGTATGGAACCCCTGTGGTTCAGGCAATGAACCACTGAGGAACAGGCCGAATGGAGCCGGATCGTCGATCAGCGAGCGACCCGAACCCTCAGGAGCAACATCCACACCACCGCGAATTCCCACACCGAGCAGTGAGCTAGACGGAGGGACAGACTCCACTGACCCTGGCCGCCCTGGTGAGCACTGGTCACAAAACCCCAACCAAGAGATGACGCGTCCGTGAACACACCTAGCGAGGGCTCGGGTAGGCGCCAAGACACTGAACCCCGAACCAAACAATCGTGAGAGAGGCGGAACGGACGTCCTTGAAGGAACCAGAACAGCCGACAAAGCCACACCTGACCCAGCGGGTAGACCATCATGGCAAAGTTCAGGCTCCCACACGAACTCTCGAGTAACCACCTCGGGACCTGGGAGCCCCTCAGAAACAGACACCGGGGGGAACGCAGGCGAAGCAGAGCCGCCGGAGGAAGAGACAAGGAAGCGGTACAATACAAGTGTCCCACCGAAGACCCAGTTAAGATCGAACCTCAGAGGGAACCAGATGGGACTTCCACCACCAAGAACCTGAACCCAGCAAGCTGGGAAAGAACCAAATCCCTGGGGAGCAGATGCACGGACTGGCTGGGAGCCCAAACCAGCCAGTCATCGAGGTAGACCAGAACCCGAACACCTAACAGATGCAGCCCAGTCTCCACGACCTGAGTAAGGCAAGTGAACACGTGAGGCGCCAGGTTCAAGCCGAATGGAAGGCAATGAAAGCGGTAACCTTGATGCCCCACAACAAAACCGAGCCAGTCCCTGAACCTCGGATGAACCGGGACATGCCAGTACGAGTCCTTGAGGTCTAGGGACACCATCCAAGTGCCGGCTCCAACAGAAGACGAATCTGGCCCCACTTGCTCGAAACGCTATGCATGCTAGTGGCTTTACAAGAATGTAAATTCAACTTAATTTCTATGTTCTCTGTTAACCCCCAATGTACCTTCTTGTATTTAAATAAATAAATAAAATGAATAAAGACGGACCTGGAACAGTAGTCATCCTGAAGGAGGGGCAATAAACCCATGGGTTCAGATGGGACAAGTCCAGAATGAACCGGAGGTCCGCGCAGTCCCGTTTCGGGACCAGAAACAGGTGGGAAGCCCACCTGAGGGACAAGATCGTTTCAACCTCGCCCATATGAACCCACTCTGAGATGACTTGACAGAATGCAAGAGAAGAATGCCCCGCGAGCCCTGAGCCCCCCGAGGGAGGAGGAACTACCCAACACCACTACAGGCCACACGAAATGACCCGAAAACCCCACAAATCGTGGGACCAGGCACAAGCGAACAGAGTGAGCTTTCTTCTCCTCCCCCCCCCCTCCATTGCCCCGTCAATGGGACGAACTGTAAAAGGGCCGATGCATCTTACGAGAACTTAAGCGGCGCACAGGGCGATCCCCATGCCGACCAAGTAATATCGATCACCAAGCCTTCCAAGTCATCTATCCAGCCCCATGATCCTTCATGCCAGGACCCAGGGCAGAGCCATCCTCCAAACCCTCTGCCCCTAAAGAAAAGGCAGAGTCAACCGGAAAAGCTGGGAAAAGGGGAGTCAACTGGTCAGACCCAAAAGCCCTGACTGGAAAAACAGGTTCGAATGCCTCCATCGCCGAACCGGATTGGGCAGCCCCTGAAACACCCGAGTCTCACCACCATTCAAAAGGTGACACCCCTAGGGTCAACACTTGCAGCAGAGGAGCTCCAGCATATTTCAACAATCCTAAGTATTGTAGTACAGGTTGATGGTAGTGAGTGGTGTCCCAGAGAACATAAAGGTATAGTGCTCTTGAAAAATAGGTAAGATAACAGGAAAGTGCTAAGGGAAGTGAAAAATCGGATGAGAAAAAGTTGCCCTAGTGTTTACAGTGCAGAGAAGAACATTCAAGATGGCCACTGGCAAGGGGAAAAACAAAACAGAGCTTGATTTTGAGGGATTCAATGAAGAAAGCATTGATATTAGCAGTCTACATAACAAGTTGGTAAATTTAGATACTATAGTGAACTCTCATGTAGAAATAATTAGTAAATTGAAAGAAAGTAATGACCATTTGAATAGCAAAGTTTTATGTCTTGAGGGTTTAGTGAAAGACTTGCGCAAGGATAAGAATCAATTGGAAACAAATTGCAAAGCCATGGAAGAAGAAAATAAACTCTTAAAAAT